GAGAGAGAGAGAGAGAGAGAGGGAGAGGGAGATTGCCACACTGTCCATTACGTGATTCTGACTCATGCTGCTCGGTTTTGTCTTTGGCTTTTTCATTCCAGGAAATGCTCCAAGATGCTCGCTTAGCTTTACAGCTTGCATGACAATGCGTCTTCCGACAATTCCCGCTGACGAACAGCAACTACCAAGCAGATTGAATGCTCATTACTTATTTATACATTGCAAGACCTGCTTAAATCAGTGGCACTCATATAATTGAAGACCACTTGCGACGACTTCCCTGTCACCTTTCCGTGTGTAACTTACCCGCGGCACCATGCACCACGCGGCACTGTGCATCTCTCTCTCTCTCTCTCTCTCTCTCTGTGTCTCTGTCTCTGTCTCTCTGTCTCTCTGTCTCTGTCTCTGTCTCTGTCTCTGTCTCTGTCTCTGTCTCTGTCTCTGTCTCTGTCTCTCTCTCTCTCTTTGGCATAACGGTCATAACCCACAACGCCCTTTTCACTCACAGCCACCTTTGAACCCCCCCTTCCCGCCCCCACTTTTTTCTTTCTTTCTGGATTTGATTTACAAATGAAATCGCAAAAGGTTTTCAAAACATATATGACGATATATAAATTGATTTGCACAAAAATTAACACGATACGCCAAAAATGCGTCTATAGCGCTAAACAAAATGGGTATTAGTTTCATCATTCTTTGAGTGGCAAATTCTGACGAAAACATAATGTAGTTTTTTGGTAGTATGAAAATAGTATTAACCCAGAAATGAGTACCTAAACCAATCATCATATCTTTGGCCAAATATCCTACAAAAAGACTTCCAAAAGCCAAAAGTATTAAAGGGATTGTCATCAGAGTATGAGTCTGACCCGCGTGTGTTATTTCTTATTTACGAGCTCACCGAGAATGACTTGAGTCAATTCTCATACATGAATCATCCTTCGGCCTTAAATGTCAAATAAGAGAGGCCTCTGCTTCCCGTTGCGCCTTTGGCTCCACTCTGGCGATAGATCAGATGCTTCGCGTCTGCCCGAGTACAAATGCGGGTGCTGCCTCCAGCAAGCAGTTTTGGAGTTCGAGCGTTTGTTACTTACCTTCCTTGAACCCTCCCCCAGATCTCCAGCCTACCCCCCCGCCCCCCCCCCCCCCCCCCCCCCCCCCAGCCAAAAAACAAAAACTACGTGGCTCAGGCAACCTGGCCACCCGGCTGCGTACGTGCGGTCACGGGTCTGGTGACCAGATGACCGGACCCCATTCATACCCCCCCCCCCCCGGTTTGAGAGTCTACGGACTGCTTCTTTCTGCTTTGCCGCCTGCTTGGTGTTCAAATAAGACTTCCTGATTGACGGACCCGGAGCTGGGCTGGTCTTTACATGAGGAGAGTGAACGGAATTCAGTGTCAACGAACTCTCCGGTTCCTGTCTTATTTGTCTCCACGTCGTGTGTTTTGTATTTGTTTCCTTTCATTTCATTTCGTCTCTTCTTAGGAGGCAGGTCTTTACACATCACAATCAGGAAGTGGGTACTGCATTCTTATTTTGCTCATCGTTACCTGCTTCCCTCATGTAAAGACCTGCAAATTCCACCGAATGCCTTTTTTTTTGGTTTGCCCCCGCCTTCGTGTTCAAATAAAACTCCCTGATTCACGCAGGCGGAGCTGCTCTGGTCCGTCTTGTCCTCTGTTGTGCCGGTTTACTGTTTAGCGTTTGCTAAACTTCTCTGGCATGTTGTCCCGTTGTTCGTGATGTGTTATACAACTTGCAGATTCTTCACTGACAGGGAAGGATGCATTTTGAGCTTAAGCAAGGGCAGCTAAGATGGGTTTAGGTGCAGGTGCTGCTGTGGAGGGAAAACTGGTGGGAGATCTGAGCTTCAACAGATTACCTCTGTGCAGGGTCATCTGGACAACAAGAGGGCATCGGCGGCTTCTCAGACACAAATGCTATGTCAAACTCTGAGTGGGAGTCCATCTCTCACTGGGATTGTACGTACGTGAAGTTCAATCGGTGTATTTTTTGCCAAAGTGCCAAACTCTGAGTGGGAGTCTGTCTCTCGTCTGGACAACAAGCGGTGTATTTTTTGCCTCACCACGTCAGTGGTACTGTGCCGCTTGATACGCAGAGGCAGATTCTGCAGTGACACTTGAGAGGATCCTTTTCGACTAAACGAGGATCAAGTAGGGTCATAATCACTCACATGAGGACTTTACTGTCTGAACGGAGTTGTAATTGCAGGCTGATACATCCCCGAAAGTGGCCGATTCATCCCTGAAAGTGGCCGATACAGGGTCGTAATCACATGAGGACTTTACGGTCTGAACGGAGTCATAATTGCAGGCTGATACATTCTGGAAAGTGGCCGATTCATCCCGGAAAGTGGCCGATATACATCTTGGAAACTACCACGGGTAGTGTGTGAGTATGCCCTAAAAAAGATGGATTCTAGCGCTGCGGAGGACACACAAATGGGGAAGCTAGGGTGTGATCCTGAGAATGAGAAGATGCCTTCCCCGGAGAAAAAGCAGCATCAAACTTTTAAGTTCGCTCTGACTGGACCTGCAAAGAGCAAATCTCAGCATTCGTCAGTCTCAGTCGTCGGTCAGACCGTCCCCGGAAATGGAAAAGCTGTCCAGAGTAAAGGGGGGGGGGGGGATAAACGAAAGGAACCTACAGAGGAGCGTGATTATGTCACAGCCATTGACAGAAGGGGACTTGTGAGCCGGATTGAGAAAAAGGAGGCTGGCCCTGCGGTGATCCCACTGCTGGAGGACTCCTGGAAACTGCACAGGAAGAGGGCCTGTCCGGGCCGTCAACCGATAATGTCAGCGTTGGGTGAAGTAGTGCTTGATGGAGATGCGGAGAGTGATCGATTCGAGGAGGTGGCCCCGGAAGATCAACCCGGTGAGAACGTTCGGTATGGGTTGGAGGTTCGCAAAGCCAAAGGCAGAGTGGATGGGAACAATGAGGAAAGCACGGTAGCTGCTTTCCACTCCAGATATCACCAACAGCAGCTTGACGCACAAGCAATGCAAAGGGAAATTGACAGTCTCCCAGATGTTGATGATACCGAAACTTACGAGACCATGCCAATCGAGCTTTTCGGGGAGGCACTTTTGAGAGGAATGGGGTGGGAACAGGGAAAACCTCTCGGGCGACGTGCAGACAGCGTAATCGAGCCCATGGAATATCGTCCAAGGCCCGACAGGCTTGGGCTTGGGGCAGTGGCTGGCCGTCCGCCTCAAGATGAGGCAACTGGCAAGAAGCAGAAGACTGGCGACCGAAAGGCTCGTGGACCACGGGCTGATATGGCCCCACCCATCGGGTCTGATGGCAGGGTCCAACACGTCAGAAATGGAGGAGAGAACCACACAGAGAGAACCAGACCAGGCGGAGTTGCCATTGGGAAGACAATGGAAATCATCGCAGGGAGGCATTCGGGTCTGCGTGGAGTTGTGTTAAGCATAGAGACACATCCACCTGAGAGCGGAAGGTCCGATCGGGCCACAGTCAGGTTGGAAACGGGCAACGAAAAGGCTGTTTTTCGAGTCAAAGAGCTAGCAGACATCGATTTGCCCACCAGCAAACACCGGACTCCTGAGGGGAGGGATAACAAGGTAAGGCGAGAGGAGGAAGAAGAGATTAATAGAGATAAGAAGACGGGCAGCATGCAAGGAAAGGGCTCGAGGCCTGAGAGCCAAGATTATCGTGCAGTGAAACATCAAACAGGAAACGATGAGGGTTCCAAACAGTCGCACCATGAATGGAAGGAGCAGGATAGGGGCTCTAGGATTCTGAAGGAGGGAAGGGGCCTTCGTCGACAGGATATGGATAAAGGGAAATATTATGGCGATTCTAAGGTATCAACATCGATTAATGCCAAACAGACTTTGTCTTGTGATGGAGGAGGTCATCAGGGTGTCGATGCATCTGGGAAAAAGGCGAAGGGCAATGGTGAAAAAGGGAAGGGACAACAGGGCAATGGTGGAAAAGGGAAGGGACAGCAAGGGGATGAACGCAAAGATTCGCGCATAACTAGCTGGTTGATGGGTGGCATCAAGGTCAGGATCGTAAACAAGGAGCTGTCAGGTGGAAAGGTATACCTGAAGAAGGCAACTGTTGCCGATGTGGTTGGCTTTGCACCTGCGACGCGTAAAATGCTTTGTGACGTAGTGTTGGATGAAAATGGCAAAATATTACAGGGAGTAGATGAGTCATCCCTCGAAACCGTTCTTCCAAAGCGAGGGGGTCGTGTCCTCATCGTGTCGGGAAGTTTGCGAGGGCAAGGTGGGAGGCTGATGGACAAGAATCTGGACAAGGGTTGGGCATTAGTGCAACTCCATGAAGATTTGGCACATGTTCAAGTCCAACTCGACGATGTAGCAGAGTTTGTTGGTGGCATGCAGGATGACGAGTTTTGAGAATCTTTTGATTCATCTGAGCAATGTCTTTCGGGGTGTGATATGTTTCCTGATTCTCCCCCCAATCATCAACCTGTCCTATTCTCTTTCTCAAGGTTCACACATGATCCATTGTATACATGTATGACCGGGCAGCTCTGTTTGACTAATACATATATATATATATATATGTGCAACAGGATATGGTCCCTGCCCAGAGTACACTCCCAACGACAGTCCCTACTCACGATGTGGCCCCGAACGCTGAGGGCCTGGGACATGATCAGCTCGGACTGCAT